CAGCACTGTGCATTCCCTGAACTTGTTTCTGATAGTCGTCTGGATGAGCGCATCTGTCTGTGGATCCACATTGGCTGTGGCCTCATCCATTACTAGAATGCGATTCTCGCGAAGAATAGCGCGCGCCAGGCATACCAATTGCCTCTGCCCCACACTGAAGTTGGTGCCACCCTCGGAAATNTAAGAGTGCGGGATAGGCACATGCCAAAGGCAATAAGGACTCCTCTTATATAATTGACTTTCTTGATGCAGTTCATCTCCTTGCGACGCATTAGTTCGACTAGTTTGCCCAAAGGCTTTTCCCAGGCGTACATCTTGATTACTTGAATGCCGGAGATAAATTCGTTCATCATTCGTACTCTTTCGTCCGTACGCAATGCTGTCATCAGACGCAGCACTGATGTTTTCTTTGCCAAATAGGCTTGAAAGGGTAGGAAAAGCAACATTATAGCAACACCAAAAAAAGATGCTATCCCGATCTGTAATTATTTTAAAAATAAGTTGATACGTTATAACGCTCATTTAACGACTTACCTTTTGATACATCAAATATGTAACTGCAAAGAGTTCGATTGGAGCTAGCCATAGAAAGTGTCCGGAAAAGAGAAATAAATCAAAGCGACCGACATCGTTAGACAATAGGTTAACAACCTGACCTATCGATGTATCCCCCAGGGCTGTATGGCTCAGGCGCAATGCTTTTCTATACATCAGACTACACAGCGCCACACGAATTTTCATGCTTAAATGGAGAACACCTAATAAAAATGGATGCCCACTAACAACGGATAGCAGTGAGGCACCTATGAGGCCTGCTGCATAAAGTTGTGCTTTTACGGGATCTGTATCCTGGCCAGAAAAGTACTGCATAATACCATATAGGCACATTGGCTGGGTCATTCTATAAAGAGTTCTACATAAATAAATGTCGCATAGTGTCTTGAGATGAACTTACTTCGTTGCAAAGTCTCGCAGTCCCAGCAGTAGTCCAGTTATAAACACATGCCAACCAAACACTCGAATCATAACGCGGCCCAAACGTGGTTGCTTATTCTGAGCTGTTCTTTGACTGACTTCCTCATCCCAAGCAGCGCTTAAGCGATCACCGAGTGTGTCTACAGGGAGGGGAGAAAAGGATGTTTTAAATAACTGTTATATTTTCCAACGAATCGATAGTTTTGCAGATATCGATAGCTACTATTTGAGTTTAAAATATTTGAATTTTTTTACCATACATTACACACTATCAACGATTTGTTTAAAGAAACTTATACTGCATGCAAGTCATGGTATTGCAATTATTATCTTTTAAAAAATATCTTATTTAAACATACTCACCAGATTTGTGCTCTTTTAGTGGCTGGTACAGATCAGGCTGTTCCAAAGTCTTCTTGCGGCCCTTTAACATTACGGGAAACACAAAGCTTTAAGATATACACAGAAGATAAGAATAAAATCATTTAAGGTCAGTCAAATAAAAACTGTTATAATAAAAAGATAATTTTAATGTATTATATGATTTACAATTTATTTCACTTTGCCTAGTCTATACGGAAAACCATATGTGCTATATCTGTACATAAGCCTTAGTTGAGTGTGAGCACTCTGGTTAGTGGAGTGAGCAACAGTTGGAATTTTACATTGCAATTGTTTTCCGTAAGCGTTCAATTCAACATTTTCTAAGACCTTCTATATATTTTAGCACTATGAAAGATAAGATAATGGAATAACATGAAACCCAAGCTCAATATGTTAGTTTTGTTAATCATTAATTTATATTCAATTGTGTTATAATGTAACAGCCTGTTTTTTTGCTGTTGAAACTGAACTGTTGATATTCCAACTCACCAAAAAAATAGTTCCGAAAACGGATTGCTCCGTTCGCGTGGATTTACAGGCAGTTCATCAGCTTTCATTGATTGCATTTTTAGTTTTCTTTTTTTTTATTATTTTTGGACTTAACTAAATATACACACTATATACATAAAAAAGTTCCTGCAAAATTTCACTTAACAACTACGAATATTTTCCACTGTGCAGTGCGATTAACGATTGTGTCAGTGATGCTGCTACGTAGACCGTATGTTAGAAAACATGAATAACATAAATAAACAAAATAAACTCATTCTAACAGTACATATGTATGTAATCAATTAATTTTATGACGCAACATTTGCATAAGAATAGCAATATATTTTATTGCGTTAAACACTTCACTTCACAGTTTATTAAGTTAACCGAATAACAATATTGATATAACTGTTCATTCCGACCGCCGAACACGTTCTGAGCAACAGCTGGTCCACATGCCGTCATTTATAGAAGGAGATCCACTGCTAAGAAACTCGGTGGACATTCACTGTTAAAAGACTCTTTAGGTTATGCAAGAGCATTTCATTACATCCAATGTTAGCTAACAGCTCTGTTGTGACGTCCCATTTTCGGCTTGTACTGTTATCCGATTTGAAGTTTGGCGGGCAATGAAACAGAGCTCTGACGGGAACTCCAATTATAGTTAAGAATTTTTAAATAGGAAGCTCTAATAGTCTCCAGTCCATATTTCTTATATACTGAAAATTAAGTACATGAATACTAAGCTCCAAAGGAATAAAAGTTGTTGGATTTTAAACAAAGATGAATGCGCGCGCAAAAATTACGAAAATATAACGTCACAATGTCAAGATTTAGTAGAGCCAACAATCACGATTGACTGGGGCTTTTAACAGTAGCCAAATATTGCTCAGTCGGGGTACTGTGTTTGATTATGAGCTCTTAGATTTATGGCAGCAAACGGCGGAAATATTCAGAGGAGTAGTTTACTACACTGTATAAATAAGGTGTAAGTATAAATTGATTGTTTATTCATAGATTTGTTAAGATATGCAGTAATATTTGAAACGATCTTTAAAATCTTGTAATTATTAGTTGCTTGTTTGTGAACTCCAGTCCAGTCAAAAACAAATACCATCCGAATATGCGTGCTAAAATGTTTCCCAGGTAATGGGATTTGTTGTGAGCTCATCTTTGAAATAGTTCCACATCCCAGGCAGTGGACATGCGCTAAATATATTTCACCTGATATGTGCCCTTGGAGTAACCTATGCCATCTTCTTCTTCTTCTTGTTCCAGTGTATTTTTATGGCCATCCAACAGAAATAGAGATTACTTAATATTATTTTTTATATTACATTAGAAAAGTATAATAAACTTCATCTTGTGAGAAAACACTGTGCTTCTGAAGCGTCAAATTACGTGTCGTCAAGTGCTGGAGATAGTCATAGCCGGCTGATAAGTTATCATAAAGCTGAAACTTTTGTATATGCTTCAATTATCAATAACTGAGCATAACGAAATAAGACCTACATCGACCTTGACTCACAATTTTTTGTTTGCTTTTATTTACATATTTGTATATTGATAAAGAATTAACGTTGTCCATTTCATTGATGAACCAATTAAGACTCACCAGAACATAAGCTCCAACAGTGGAATTGTTCTGCTCTCATAGGTTCTTCAGCAGATCATCTGCTTTTATTTGCGGTATTTAGTAAAGATTTAAGCTTACAAAAAATTATATATGTATAAAACAATAAATATTTATAATAACACTTATTTTTTAATTATCTATTATTTTATTTATTTCGTTGAAGCATTAAAGAAATTAATATAGTATTTATTTTAATTTCACCATATTACGAAATATTTAATAGGACCCCAGTTAGTTTGATCAACCAACTCAGGGCAACGGCCACAGAATGTGATTTCACTCTCTTACTCTCTGAAACCTTTCGCTTAAAAATAAAAACTTACTCTTATATCTTATCACTTTCGGTTGTCCTATCATGTACAACGTTTTGTCAGTCATTTAACACTGGCGGATATCACGATTGAGTGATAGTACGTTATGCAAAGCGAACAGCTGATTTGACAGCGTGACGTTATTATTTCAGAAAATGGTGTGCGCGCGTTTGAATTTGTATGAAAATTAAGCCACTTTTTGCTAATTTTTATACTCCAAGCCGTTTTCTAAGCAGTTATTGATCATGCAATTCCTTGACCACTTTTACTTTTGCATATAATGGATTTAACCTTACTATTTAAGGCTTGAATTTGTATAACTAAAGAATTACTACTAAGTATTATGCATTTCCCATCAATCCGCATTATTATATGTACTAATTTCATTCTTTATATTACAAATCCGATGGCCATAGATGATACGCAACATTGTTAGCTTCTGCCTAGGTTTTTAGAGCTGATTCAGGCATATTATATGTTTCCTTAGGTTTCAATACTCATAATCACACAAGTTTTCGACTTGACAATTAATACACAAATTTTATTTCATTCCACTGGATGTTTCTGACATGACAGCAGGTGTGAGCAGCACCTTTATTGATGCAGCTTCAGCGTGTACTATATTTGAATGTGTAGGTAAATTGGCCTAAATAAACAATACTGATGGCGAAAATCCGGTTAACTATGTCCATCAATAATTCCTGCTGACTTATTGGCCATTTTGGCCATATCATTGCTGCATTCGAGAGGCTTCCCAGTTTATTCCATTGCATATTTAATTTCTTTATTGTATGGTAATAAAATTAATGATTGATTGATTTAAGTTATTGAAATTTTAAGCTATTGAAATTTCCTGATATATACTTAATTTTGGTTATTTTCGACCCTTTAGCCGTTCTGTGCTGAAGAGCCTGCCAAGGTTCAGCAGGGACAACATAGGAAAATCTGATAATGTGACGTCACAATAGAGCTGTTAGTTAACATTAAAAGTAACGGGACTGCTCTTTGCGCAACCTCCTGTGTCTTCTAACTGTGGTAAATATATATTAGCACTGACCAAAGTCAGTGATATTAGTCTGAAAAGAACCAGTAAAGCTTTTCAGATTTCACCTGCACTGCTTTGTTTACCATTTAAATTATTAGTAATTTTTCGATTTTAACATAAAGACTCCATATTTTATTTATTTTAGTTTTAATATATCATTATTAAAGTTCGTAGAAATAATACTTTAAGTAACATATACAAAATTACACAATTATAAGTGGTATACTTTCTATGAGGAATTTGCTTAAAGTTAATCAATGAGAATATTTAAGTGAATATTCATTGTTTCTAGGCAGTTTTCTGCTTTTGTGATTCCAAATGAGCCTGTAATTTCGTAAAATTAATCATAACGAACCTTTAAAGTGACAGAACTGAGTCCTTACCTTCTCCGCAACCTTCAGTAGCCTATCAAAGTTGCTCTGCCCGGTCTCCATAGCCATATTGTGAAAGATCTTCGTCTCACATTCCGTCAGGAGTTCATAGGGTGAACCAAACTCAACCATCTGACCAGCATCCATGACTATCACCTTGTCGGAGTCCATAATCGTGTTTAGCCTATGGGCTATCGTCAGCACTGTGCACTCTTTAAACTTGTTTCTTATTGTCGTCTGGATGAGAGCATCTGTTTGTGGATCCACATTGGCTGTGGCCTCATCCATCACTAGAATACGATTCTCGCGAAGGATAGCACGAGCAAGGCATACTAATTGCCTTTGACCCACACTGAAGTTGGTGCCACCCTCCGAAATCTTGCTCTGAAGACCACTTGGCAGCTCGCTAATGACAGGTTTTAACTTGACTTCCTCCAATGCTTCCCATAATTTGGCGTCACTATACTCCTCAAATGGATCCAAATTGTAACGCATGCTGCCCGAGAAGAGCACTGGCTCTTGAGGTATAATGGAGATTTTGCTGCGCAAATCGTGAAGTCCTAGCTCGTTAGTGTTGCGACCATCGATGATGATGGAGCCATCATTATAGGATAGGCGGAAAAGGGCGTTGATGAGTGAGGACTTGCCTGCTCCTGTGCGACCCACAATGCCCACTTTCTCCATTGGTTTGATCTCAAAGTTGAGAGACTTAAGTACATACTTGGATTGAGGATCGGGGAAGTAACGAAGACTCAGATCGTCAGCTACAATTTTACCTTGCTCTGGCCATTTCGGTGGGGGCTTTTTGCTTGGCTGGGATTCATATTCGCCTTCCGGTTCGATCTCATCATATTCCACGACACGTTCCACAGCCGTCATGGTGTTCTCCAGCTCAGCTGATTGACGCATGCCCCACTGTACCATGCCAGCCATACCCATAGCTTGAGTAATGGCTAATCCCACTTCTCCAGAGCTTTCAGGTGGATTTATGAAGTAGTTGAGTATGATTATCACTATGTACAAGGTGCAGAAGCAGTCCAGGTAGTAGCCAAAGGCTCGATTGGTGGACAGGAAAGTGTAATAGCCAGAGCTGTGCAGATCCTGAAGATTATCGAACTCTGCAATAAGCGCTTTCTGCGCTCCCATAGCTCTGATCGTAGGGAGTCCATTAAGTGACGAGCTGATGTGGGAATAGATAGGAGACCTGGCCACTGCCTCCAATCGTTTCACATCTCTCGATGTTTTCAAGTAGAACTCTCGAATATAGTAGAAGATGATTGCCAGACCAAAAGTGAGAATGAGATAATACGGATTGGTTATACAGATAACAACAATAATGCCAATCAGAGTGAGAAAGATCTGCACTACATCCAACATTACTGTAGGCAGCAGCTCGTCTATCTGCCCGAGGTCCTTTGAAAACCGATTCAATATTCGACCCGAAGGATTCGTATTGAAGAAGTACATGGCTGCTCTGGTAATGCCACGGAACATGGCATTATGGAGCTTTGTGGAGCTGCGCATGGCTAGCTTATAGAATAGCATAGTCCGCACCAGAGTGAATACAATGACAGCTATATTAAGAGCGGTAAAGTAGTATATATCTATGGGATCTGAGTCTTTCTCTGCAGCATCTTGGTTCTTGTCGACCCTAGAAATAAAAGAAAAGTCAATACGTTTGCGTTTGATAGAAAACTTATTATGTCTTACCAATAGGCGAGAAAGACATCTGCTGAGGATCCCACAATTTGTGTACCCAAGCAGAGGAACACCATAAAACATATCATTAGGTATCCACTTCCTGCTGTAAAGTATTCCTTATATAGAGCTAGACTGATTTTGCCCTGGACCCGTGTCTCTTGTGGTGCCATGGCTGAGTCCTGGGCAATAGACTCGGAAAAAGAGCTCAAGGATGTGAAACTAACATTGCGCGAAGGTTGCTTCGAAATGTCCAATTTACTGCCACGCCTGCTACGTGAAGCTAAGCTGAGACGATCCCAAATATCACCAGGCTCGCTATCCAAATCACTCTCCCCATCTTTTGTCTTGTTGGGATCGGTCAAGAGTTGTGCGAAGTCCAGGCCACTACGCTGCATCGTCGCATATGTTCCCATTGCACTGATCTTGCCCTTGTCCATGATAACAATGAGATCAGCTTGTTCCAAAAACTGAAGCTGATGTGTTACCAATATAACCAACTCGCTTCGCAGATACCCCCTCATGCACTGGTCAAACAGATGACGACCCACATGTGTATCCACAGCACTGAGTGGATCGTCAAGTAGGTAAATGTCCGCCCTACGATAAACAGCCCTGGCCAGGCTGATGCGTGCTTTCTGTCCACCCGATAGCGAAGCTCCCCGCTCGCCAACGATCGTCTTATCTCCTTGAGGAAGTAGTTCAAAATCCCGCTCGAGGGCACACTTTTTGACCACCGTCCGATAACGATGCTTGTCCAAGGTCAGTCCGAAGAGAATGTTTTCTCGTACAGTTCCAGTAAAGAGCCAAGGCTCCTGAGCGGCATAGGAGAATCTGCCATTGACTTTTAGGCTTCCTTTATCAGCGGGCAGTTCACCAAGAATGGATTGTATAAGACTGGACTTACCGCCGCCCACGGGTCCAATCACAGCTACCAGCTGTCGGCGATCCAATTTTAGATTAATATTATCTAATGTGTTCTCTGTTGATTTGCTATTCCACTTGGCAGAGAATTGGGAAAATTCAACAAGGGATTCCGGATTGCCATTAAGCTTAGGTACATCGCCACTGCCGTTTTTTATTAGAGATCCATTCTCCTTATCATTAGTAGCAGTAGCGGACGGAGCATCAATTGATTTGTCTTGAACTTGTGTCTCCTCCCGATGCATAAATGTCTGCAGACGGTTGATGGATACCATCAGTTCTGCATACTGACCGATACCCTGTGGAAAGAACATGGTGACCGTACGGCGGAGAATGTTGTAGTAGGCGGTTATATAGAAGGCCTTTTCAGCATTTAGTACGTATCCCTGCAGCACATATCCCACCAGACTGGCAAAGACAAATACACGGGAGAGAAACATGGCAAAGGATATAAGTATACCACGTATGTAGTTCACTTGTTTGATGCAGATCATTTCCTTGCGTCGTGTTAGTTCAATAAGTTTTCCAAATGGTTTCTCCCAGGCGTACATCTTGATCACCTGAATGCCCGAAATAATCTCGTTCATCATTCGTACACGTTCATCAGTACGCAGAGCCGTTCGCAGACGGAGCACCGATGTCTTCTTGCCTAGAAAGGCTTGCAAGGGAAGAATAAGTAACATAACCGCAACGCCAAAGAACGCTGATATTCCTATCTGAAAATTAAATTGCCATTATACAAGTAATCACTAGCCCTATCTTCTGTAAACGTACTCACCTGTTCGAACATTAAATAAGTGACCACAATGAGCTCTAGAGGCGCCACCCAAAGATAATGAACATTGATCAGCACAGTATCAAAGCGTCCCACATCATTGGACAGGAGATTCACAACCTGACCGATGGTAGTATCACCCAGAGCGGTACGGCTTAGCCGTAGAGCCTTGCGATAGATCAAGCTGCAGAGGGCAATGCGCATCTTCATGCCTAGATGGAGAACACCCAGCATATATGGATGGGCACAAAAGACAGTGAACACAGAGCCTGCCATTAGACCAGCTGCATAAAGCTCAGCCTTCATTAGATCGCCATCTTTGGTCGCGAAGTAGGACATCATGCCAAACAAGCATATGGGTTGAGTTACCCTAAAATTGTTACGATCAGACACGGATGATGCGGGCAATAATTCAAGAAGCTACGAACTTGGTTAGAAACTCCTGGGCAACCAGTAAAAGGCCCGTCACAAATAAATGCCAGCCAAATACGCGGGCTACCACACGCCCCAAGCGTGGGGGTAGATTCAGAGCTGATCTATTAGCTACTTCTTGATCCCAGGCGGAGCAAAGGCGGTCGCCAAGCGTGTCTAAAGAAAGTATTTTCAGTTGTTATTATGAAAAATATACTAAGTCATCTTGGATGTATCACTCACCTGACTTGTGTGTCTTGAGTGGTCTATAGAGATCAGTTTGCTCTAGTGTCTTTTGCCGTCCTTTAAACAGAACTGGCATGGCAAAGCTTAATGGAACAACAAAGATATAAATTAAACAATACAGATAACAAGTGACGGCAATGGCAAGTAAAGACAATTAAGATTGGTCTAGGAGAGTTTACTCGACTACCAGATGCTCTCTAGATTGGCATAAGATCTATCTTCGATATAAATAAGTCAGAAAAAATTGGGCTGACTAGAGTCCAGTAATAAAATGTCAGCTTATAAATTTACATACAAATGCTGTTGATAAGTCGTAGAAATTTGTAAATTAACTTAGTAAATATTTACGGTATTTGATATATCTTTTTTATTTTACAATCATATTTTATAGATAAACGAAACAATCATGACATTTTTCGCAGTCCACCCATTTTATTTGGTTTGGGGTATTAGCATAGGGCTCTATTAGCACCTTGAAAGATAACATTAACTTTTAGAGAATTCATATCTCTATGCTTTCAGCAGGCCATAAAACAAAGTTATAACGACATAATGTCAGCAACGACAAATCAGAATACATATGTACATCTATGTAGGGCTGTACATATGTACATATTTATGGCACGTTGACCAAACCCGATCGGGATTTATTAGCCTATGGATACGTTTAGCTGACGATCACTATTAAAGTTGCCTTAAGTGACAGCCAATTGAATAACTTGAAATAATTCATGCAAATATCAATGGGCTTGAAAAATGTATTGCTCGTATATATCATTCCATATATATTTTTTTTTACCGCTCCCTCAGTAAGCGGGACTCAGCTCGAACGCGCTAACTATGCAAATTAAACGATCCATTGAATACAATAATAACAAACTCGAGACACTTGTCACTATCAGCTCGAAACGCTGATTCGAGTCTGACTTACCAGAACATTAGCTCCGACAAGCAATTGGCACGCTCGACGGGATTCTCCTCCAGCTCATCGGCTTTTAATGATTGCATTTTGCTCTCTCTTGTGTTTGAATTGAATTGCTGTCAAGCTACTTTTTTCATACGTTTTTATTGTTTTATATAGCTATAATTATATTATTTAATATTTAAATATTTTTCCGGATTTGGCGACTTTTTTTTGTGGACTTGATTAGCACCCAACAGCAGGCATAGCGGACACGCGCTTGTCGTTAGTATAATTTATTATTATTTTTATTTATTTTCTGAATAGCTTTTGACTTATATGATACATAGGAGCATAGCTAATCAAAATTTTCCATTCGAACCATATTTGAACTTTCGAATGGATTTTACGAAAACGTTCCACAGCACATGTTTTTTCTTTTTTGTGTTTCGGATAAGAGATACTCGATATTAAATAGCTTAATTGTGTTGCACTATGTGTATGTCTGTTATGCGAGCCTTCACGTTATCACTAGCTCGATAACATAATTTCATCACTATTGTGTACATGCGCGAGTATATATATTGATAATGAATTTTTATTTTTGCGTTAGTTTGTATGACTTGACGAAAGTTCGGCGCAGTATGTAGATTTTTACCCGCAGCTCGCGTTAACCCAACGGACGTTATTCACACTCCGAGCGCCAAACTCGTTCTAACTCACAGCTCATTTTTCTTGCGCTGAAAGAAACATCAACTATTTACTCTTTCCGCTCCATCAAGCGTACGCGCAATGAGCTTGAAGCGCGCTCACTCAGCTGTGCTGAGATTTCAAGCAGTGCGCTCTTCATTGCGCTATCTGTATTTCTCCCTCTCTTTTTCAGCCAATTACGAATATCGGTTTGTCGCTGAACTCTGAGGCCGGCCGGCATGTTTTCTGAATTGATTGCATGTACATTGTACATGCATGTAATCGGTCAGCTACCTTTGATAAAATGATCAATGCAAATACTTTAAAGAACAAAGTGCAAGTGACATCTGCTATATTAACATTTTGAAAATCAGCCATAATATTTACATACTACATACAAATATAATCGTATTTAAATATAATCGACGACTTTATACATATGTATATGTATGTATGTATGTACATAAATGTAGATAAATACATTTATATTTCAACAGTCATAAAACCCCAATTGAATCACCCGAAAGCTATTTGTTGATCGTGCAGTTCAAAGTTGGTCGCAACTTGCAATTGCACTGCTTTGTATAATGAGTTGGTTTGAGACTTCGCTAAACGAAATTGAAGTTGAATAGTTGAATATGGTCACTCTGGCTTTTAAATCTATATGAAGTATAGGAAAAAGCGATAAAGTATATACACATACATATATATACATATAACAAAATATCACAAACCATTAGAGTGAAAAATATTCGATAGATAAAAAGTTTGTTTTGATTGGTTGTGCTCATTCAGAATTTCATTATGTTCGTGCATATATATGTTTATCTTTAAATAGCTCTAGATACGAAACAAGTGACAGCTGCAACGCATTAAGGTGGAAGACGTTAATTGAATTAACGAGATAAGAAAGCAAATATGAATATAATTTGGTCTACAAGATATATAAGGTCTTTGTGGAATTGCATTCGATTGGCTTTTATGGATTTGAATGCTCGATTAGATTATTCATACAATTTACTACAGGCGGGTGCATACACAAAGGAAAGTATTATAAGAATAATAGCCAAAGTTTTATTATTGTTGACCCACAATGGCTATTATGTATAAATTTGATATATGTATGTATTTCTACATGCAAGCCTCTGTAGTATCAGAAGATTCCACTTGAGCTTGCAGTTCCCACAGCATATGGAACACGAATCTTACGGACGGCACGTTTGAATCAATTTAACTGCAAGCAATTGATCATGTCAAGTTAGCAGAGGTTGTTCACACATACGTAAATACATAAATATATATATACATATTTGTCAATCTTATATATATCTAAGATTCAATAAAATAATCTAATTGCTAAAATTACTAACAAGTTTATCATATATGTAGGTTTGTATATAACAGTCAAAGTTTGGAAATTATTGAATATTTGCACACAGAATTATAATTATTACCCAATATAAGCCACATATTTTACCTCGTTTTATGCAATCTTTATCTGCATAAAACACAAATTTACACCTTTATTTGTCATTTTATTGATGTATCCATATCGATAACGTTTGATTCGTGCTGCCATATATAAACCCCTGGCGCAAACTCGCGCTCTTTTTTGCGCTCTCTCAGATTACTCAGGCGAAGCTTTTACTTAGTTTTTAGCAGCTGGTAACGCTGTACTCGCGTATAAAAACAGTCGGCCTGAGCGAGCTTTCAGCAGTGGTGGTCTGATTTCGTGTATCTCAACGAAGTGAACGCATTTTCAAAGAAAACGAATTAAAATGGCATCTTTCATTGGCAAGAAGTACAAACTGGACAAGTCCGAGAACTTCGATGAGTACATGAAGGAGTTGGGTGAGTAGCTAGGATTTTATTTACTGTTAACATAGTAGCGAATAGTATTACGTATACATGTGATGGCACGTGGAGTGCGCCATTAGGCGGCCGGTCGATTAAGAAAGCGAGAGAGTGTAAAAAAGAAGCCAAAGACGCAAAAAAAAAAAAAAAAACACCGCTAGCCGGCCGGCTTTTTTTTCCGCAGATGTGCAAGAGAAAGATGATAAAGTGTCAGGGCCAATAGAAACAAAAAACGTGGTTTCAAACAACTTGGTTTTTTTTTTTTGGAGTTGCTAAAGAGAACTTTATGAATCAGGTGCAAAAGTCATTAAAATGCAACCTTATCGGGGACGAGCTAATGGGGCAATAAACTGAAAAACTACTTAAAATAAAGTCCGCACTTTAGTCAAAGAAAGTTTTTGATTCCCGTGCAAACAGCTTTTATGGTTAATTACTATATTTTACAACACTTTGGAGTGTTATATGGCTATTTTCAATTTATAATGCTCTATAATTAGGAGGAAAGGAGTAAATGGAAAAGTTTAAGCTTAACAGTTAATTATTTTCTGCCAAAGATGGTTTAACTTCAAGATAAAATATAAAGAGCTTACAATAGCATTATTTTACAGATTTAAGCTTTATACTTTTCTACAGCAGTTAAGATAAATACAGTTAAGAAATATTTTGTTCTTTTAGTTTATTTTTTAGTGCATGTATTAGTGAGCCGTCCCAAGGTTAGGTGTGAAAACAATAGTCTGCCTAGTCATCCATTAAATTATTTAAACAATAGTCGAACTTTGTTCTGTTTAGTCTAGTCCGGGGTTCAAGTTGTTGGAGGATTTGGAAATTTGATTCGTTACGGAATATGTATGTGTTTCCGTTATTTTGTTATTACTTGCGGTCTATTTCGTGGTTTGGGGTGTAAAATCAAATCACAAACAAGATCTCATTTTTCAACATCAAACGTCGACACTTAAGAGGTTTGGATTACCAGATTTTGAATGAAAATAACTATCAACGTCAAATAAGTGGCTGTTGGGACACGTCAAGTAATACTTTTGTTTTTATCTGATTGATCGATGCACCCTGAACGTATAAAGCATAATCGATAAACCTTTTAGCAACATAGTATATAACGTTCATATAATAATGATAGTATAGTTTTGAGATTACAATTTCTGTACTTTTGTTGTTGCACCTTGCACCTTATCAATAACCGGGTGGGCTCTATAGCAACAAAAAGTCATTAGCTATTTATTTTATTTATATTTCTATTTCTGCGAACTTTTTTCTAATCTACTCTAGCTCAAGCAAATGATGGACACCAAAAAATTTCAAAAAGTTTCCCTGGGAACCTATCGAGCCATAAAACACTCGAGAGCAAAAGGTTGTCCACTTAAAAGAGTACATAATTGAACATAATTGATTTGTCTCTGCAAATTGATGGTCAACAGGGGGCACAGCTCTCTTTAGAGGAACTACAATTTATATATAAATATATATATCAATATGATGTGTGTATATGTATATACTACATACGTGCATTGCGATAAGGTCCGCTTGCATCTCGCTTTGCTTGTACAGTTCTGCTATATGTGTATGTATATTTATTTAGGCTGACCAATTGATAAGTACCGGAGGCTGTGCGTCTGACCCCCCAGCACGGTCGACATTGTTAACCTTGAGTATGACTCTCGATCTGCTGTTGGTTGAGCTCTGTCTGGGTTACTTGCTGGCAACTTCACAATTCAGCTTTATTATTTCAATTAAATACAATATGATTTGCATTGTGTGTGGGTCTCAAACTTTGACCGAATAATTCAATTAGTAACTGTCCAAATCTTATATATATTTATATCATATAAATAAAAATATATAGATATATAAAGATTTCTTTTTGCCCTACTGTGAGTTGCATTCCGGCAACTTTGCACTTTGTCAGTGCTTGGCCTAGTTTCAAAGTTTCTTATAAATATTAGAAATATCATTGAGTTAATTATATATTTATTGAATTTATGTTACATTTATTGATTGAATATATAAATAATAAAAATATATTGATTGATTTAATTTTTAATATTTTTCAGGCGTTGGCATGGTTTTGCGCAAAATGGGCAACACCGTCAGCCCCACCGTGGAGGTGACCGTGGACGGCGATACCTACACACTGACCACCACATCGACATTCAAGACCTCCGCCATTAGCTTCAAGCTGGGCGAGGAGTTCGATGAGGAGACTTTGGATGGCCGCAAAGTCAAGAGCGTGATCACTCTTGATGGTAACAAACTGACGCAGGAGCAGAAGGGCGACAAGCCCTCGACCATTGTGCGCGAGTTCAACGACAACGAACTGATTACCGTAAGTCCAGCCCGAGTCCAATGTTCAGTTGCCGTATCTAACTATATGTATATCTTATCTCCCGTAGACACTCACCATTGGCAACGTCAAGAGCGTGCGCATCTACAAGGCAGTCTAAGCATCCATTTCGACTGCAAACTTGACTGAACTATCAACTGTCTAAACTATATTTGCATTGTGAACTGATTCCCAGTTTAGTAATATATATATTGTTATTGATTAACAACGCAACAAAATATGAAAATATGAACTGCACTTTAATTCTAATGCTTATTTATAAACACACGCATATATTCAATATATATGCGTGTAGATGACATGTGAAATTTTCAAAATGCATTTGAATAAACATTAATTCGCTTTAAATTGAAAATTTTGCGTTGTTTATATGAAGGCCGAATAAATGTTGAATTTAAATTATCATACGGAAATCGAAATATAGGTTTTAAGCATATTCAAATGGGAGTGAAACCAGAAGAGCTTTTATTATTTTCAAATAAGAAACCAATAAGTACTTTTTAAATGCAATTACACACAAGAACAACTTTGAATTAGAATGAGCAGGAGATTCTAATAGAATCCGATCTAGATTTGTCATAAAAACCTAATTGGAAACAATTAACTAATCTAGCTTTGGGTTTGATGAGGAGGAATATAAATTTGTATAAGGAAAACCGCTTAAATATAGAATTACGTGCTCGAAATGAAAATATGTACGTGTAAGTGCAGATGCAAATTTGTTGCAGTTTAGATAGTCTCATATTCTCTATTTGGGGGTCTTAATATTGTTTGTGGGCGGCTTTGCTTGATATTATATCAAGTTGATGTGGGAATAAAGGCAATTTGATTATATGATCTGCAGTGCAAGTACATATTCTATGCATGTATATGTAGACTGCCGGAGGCTTGAGTTATTTGCTGGCATATGCAACAACATTGTGACCCACAGTACATCATAACGCTCACTCCCACGCATTTCCTTTCTGGAGCTGTCGTCACGCTAACGAAGCAGACAGATGTACCTACCCACATACATATATACCTAAGAGTATATATGAACAGTTATGGCTGTATTGGTGAGTCATGCGCAGTTGAGAGACGGATAAATCGTGATTGGTTGGCGGCTTGGTTGGCAGTCACAGTTCCAGTTTGCCGGCTTCAGCGTATATTCGAGTATTTATCCACATGGGCGGCTGATTAAACAAAAAGTAAGTTGGTAAACGAAAAAAAAGTGATAAAAACCGTATATAGTGTGCTATAAATTGATAACAATTATATCGATTTACTGGCTGGAGGCATAAACTGGTGCATGACTTAACCTAATCAGCAACACGCACACAGAACGAGAATAGAGGAGTGTATGTGAGCGCATTGTGTAATAGCTGCAAAACAGAATTGTGATATGATTGTTGCCTATTTTGCGGCTGTTCACAAACAAAAAGCACGTTTCTCTGCTTAACTAGCGCAAGGGCGTGCTTTCCAGTTGAAAAAGCTCCGGCAAGTTTTGGCGAGCCAAACGGGTTTTGCTGATTAAGAGACACAGATCGTGTTTTACTTTATTTCTTTCTGCTGCGTTGTCAAAACAGCAACACAATCCAGTATCACGCCATTGCCGTTACTTTTGCTCTTCGTCGACGCGTCGGCAATTGGCTCTCGCTTCCATGCTCAGCCGCGCGATCTGCGGCGAGCAGCAGTTGGTTAGTTTCTGCTTGTTTACAAATGTATTGCTTATTTGAATTTTTTGTAGCTTTCTCTGAGATTGGAAAATGAAATTTTTTTCAGTTGAGTCGCTGCCCTAGCCGCGAACGCGTCGCAGTCGCATTCCAATCAGCTCGATAGAAAAGAATCAGCCAAAGAGCTCCAGTGCCAAAGTGAACCAGTTATTGCATTTCTTCCAATTGTAATTAAGTGAGTTGAGCTTAGAACTATTGTGTGCTAAATTGCACACATTTCCAATCAGAAAAAAACTGATCAAATACCGGCAGCAGTTCTACAACTGAAAGCTTACTGGAATTGTTATTTTTCGCTTAAGTGTGTGCGTGTGTGTGTGGGAGAGCCCATTTCCAATAAAAAGATATCATACAACTTTGTTTATCTTTATCAGCAATGTTTGAGTTTGCTCATTTGATATCAATTGTAAATCAGATTCCAAAATTAACCTGCATAATTATTGCAAGTAATACCATAATTTATTATGCCATCGCAGAAATTATATAACAATAAAAAAAAGTCGAGTGCAAAGAGCAAAACAGAAAGAGAATTACTATAGAGTACTTCATGAGTTTCTTGTTTCGTTTTGTTTCAAAGTACTATCATACGATCATAAATAGTCGCAATCAGTTGCAGATGTTTCCATGGCAATCGAAAATTCTCTCTATTGAATTATACAACATAGATTTTGTTTTGTTTTTGAACTTTGCTTTCAAGGTGAAAATCGACGCGATAAAATCATGAATTGTCACGAAACTAGCAAACGTTATAGATTAGCTGTAGACATAACCTAGACATACTACCTAAAGAGTTGCAATATGGATTTTAATACGATGTTCTCTATTCTTGAATGGGGTATATGAGGCGAGTTAAATTTTCAGTGATTTTCTAAAATTAAAAGTGCAATAATTGAATAATATAATAATATTCATATAAGAACCACATTCTTATAAGAATCAGTAGTAACAAATATATATTATTTTTGAGTTGTTTTCTTGTTGTCTATAGTCTGATATAATTAAGTATATTATGATGCAGCTATCTTTGAGATATTTTGTTTTTGTTATTTTCTATTTTAAGATAGATTTTTTCCATCCACCCTCGCACACCTTAACACAGAACTTGTCTTCTTTGACAACAAACTCCCATTCAAATTGGAATTTTCTAAATTTAGTAGATTTTCGATATTTTATACTATGTACTCCACTAAATTGTTGTTTTTTTTTTTTTTTTTTTTTTGTTTTGTTTGTATTATTAGTTTATAGTTAGAGATGGATCGGTCCCGCGTACCCTTGTTGTTAAGTCCCTACCAGAACCGACCCTGGATGGTCAATGATGGCGCTGCTGCTGCGGCGGCAGGTGGCTCGAAGGGCCTGAAGGGCATTGTTGCCGGTGGTATTACCGGCGGCATAGAGATCTGCATTACATATCCCACCGAATACGTGAAGACGCAGCTGCAGCTGGACGAGAAGGGGGCCAATAAGCGATACAACGGTATTGTTGACTGTGTGAAGAAGACGGTGAATGAACGCGGTTTCTTCGGACTTTATCGTGGCCTCAGCGTTCTAATCTATGGTAGCATACCCAAGTCGGCGGCCAGGTGAGCTTGATGGAATAAATATCCTGTTCGATCACCTATCTAATTGTTCGCCCTGACAGATTTGGCGCCTTCGAATACCTGCGCTCTAAATCTGTCAACTCTCAGGGCCAACTGAGCAATTCTGGCAAATTGCTCTGTGGTCTAGGCGCAGGAGTCTGTGAGGCCATCGTTGCGGTCACCCCCATGGAAACAATCAAGGTGAAGTTCATCAATGATCAGCGCAGTGCGAATCCCAGGTTCAAAGGCTTCGCCCATGGCGTCGGCGAGATAATCAAAGCGGAGGGTATCAGCGGCATTTATAAGGGTCTTTCAGCAACGATCTTGAAGCAGGGCTCCAACCAGGCCATTCGCTTCTTCGTTATGGAGTCCCTGAAGGACCTGTACAAGGTAATTATAAATGGACTAACTTATAGGCATTACCTAAACTCACCTATGTTGAAGCCAACCCAAGCTGAGCAAATTTCTACTTAAATTTACAATCTTCTTCTTCCAGGGCGATGATCCAAATAAGTCAGTACCCAAATTGTTGGTAGGCGCGTTTGGTGCCGTAGCTGGTGCTGCCTCCGTATTTGGTAATACGCCTTTGGATGTGGTGAAGACCCGTATGCAGGGCCTCGAGGCTTCCAAGTATAAAAATACGGCGGATTGTGCCTTGCAAATATTACGAAACGAAGGTCCAGCGGCATTTTACAAGGGTACAGTGCCCCGTCTGGGACGTGTATGTCTGGATGTAGGCATCACCTTCATGATCTACGATTCATTTATGGAGGTGTTCAACAAAATTTGGAAGGACTAAATTTAAAGTTAATATGTAGTTATTGGCGTGCATCTTACGTCGTCATCGTTCGGACCTATTCAACGAATGTGAACCATTTTAATGTAGAGTCATATGTAAATTGCGTGTAAGAGTTTCAGACCAGAGCATTTGACAACGAATTGTAAATAGGAAATAAAATTCAATGTTGTAGTAACTGTTTTTGACTCTTGCTTCGAGGAACTATGCCTATTTAATTGAATCTCTATTTCCCAGGAACTAGCTGTCTAAACAATGAATTCTAGTGACACTCGGAACTAGAGCGTGATAAATGCTAGACGGGAAAGCTGAAGATTAGATAAACCAAAGAGTCAAGCCCACTAAAATTCCACTGATAAGCATTGAAGATCATCATACAGTATGATGATCTACGTACAATAAAGATAATCATTGTAATGAAGACATATTAGAACATCATAAATATCGTGCGTCTTATCATGGTTACGAAAGATCTTCCTGAGCTTTATAAATGTTGATTTCAGATCATTATCATCATCATGAAGGTTATTATCACATTGCACTATGATAATATTGTATTCATCTTCCCCAGGCTAATGGTCATAATCTTCCTTAAGAACAATATATTTCAATTAGATGACTATCATAATTATACATAGTATTAATAATATTAATAGCTTACCTAATTACATATAGTAAATTTACTACTATTAATATTTTGTTTACATTGTTTTTTAACATAATACCACTAATCTGCACCACGTCCGAACAGCAGAAACTTTGGATAGCCACTGTGCGGCTCAGTCTCAGGCTCGCCTTTATATAGGCAGCAGTCCCACTCAAACTCGTGTAACTCTCTTGAGCCTGCTTCAGGGTTAATTTTAATACTCGCTCAAAAACTAAAAAGAGTGTTTTACGATTTTCTCTCACTAGATTATATGAATGCAGAGCTTGCATTGTAAAGAGATTGCTAGAATTATCAGTGACTCAAGTCAAGGTCCCAGTATGTATATATAGGAAGGAGCCGATAAAAACTAAATAACTCTCTGTAAAATGCTTCACAGACATTTAATAAGAAATAGAATAAAAACAATAAACTCCAATAAAGACTGGATTGTCATAAAAGATTACATGCAACAATTTTATAATCAAGTGGCAATTGGTATATTTAAATACTAGGGCATAAAATATAAGCTTGCACCATTTGAAAGAGAGTTACGGCTAGTAATTAGTTGATAGTCAGCTAACGTATCACGTTGAGTGGTATGGAGGCATTCTTGCTGCTGAGTATGCGGGCCAGCGTCTCGTCCAGCGGCGAGCTAAGCTCTTGCCAAATGCATTTGCCAATCAGCGAAATTTCCTCGAGCGGCGGCCTGAAGGCCACCAAGAGATTCAGGCAAAGGCCATCGCTGCCTTCCTCGCTGTTGGTGCCATGCTCCACGCTGAGCAGACCATGCGGACGATGCTGTGGCAGCTCGGCGCCAAATATTTCGATCATAAACTTGCGCAACGTCGAATGCAGGCTGCGATTGGGATGCATCTCCACAGTCGGAAAATGATGCGCATTCTTCTCGCTGATGAGTATGTTCATCGAGTTACTGGCACGCTTGCGCGCCACGGCCAGCACTCGCATATAGTTGCGCTTGTGCGGATAGCGCGTGGGCAGCACATTTGCATGCCACAGCGGCTGCTTGGCCACGCCCTCAGCTGACTTTGCCAGCTTCTGGTGCTGATGATAGGCACGCCCAATTTCAATGATGTTGAGTATATCGTTGGCCCGCAACGGCACCTCCTTTACACTGCGCAGCCACAGCGCCTGTATGGACTCTGCATCCGCATCGGCTGGTGTTTTTAGACGGCCGCCGGTAATGCGACCCGTCAGCACAAAGCGAAACCAGGAGCCACCCGCCGATTCCACGGCCAGCAATGTTGTCATCTCCGCATTGAGGCCAGTCTCCTCGAAGAGTTCACGCGCAGCTGCTTCCGTAATGGACTCGCCCTTTTCCATGCGACCGGCGGGCAAATACCATTTACCTGCGTCAACGAAAATATGCTTCAAACGATGTCAATTTGCCAATTGCCAACTCACCTGCGCAACTGGGCTTGGCCTCCTCGATCATCAGCAGCTCGTCGTGCTCATTGAACATGACACAGGCCACTATATAGTTAATCGTCTGCCCGACTTTCGGCACAAAGTCACTCGTTGCCGATGGCTGCACGCCCTGTGCCTCGGCCGTGGCATTTTGTTCTTTTAATGAGAAGTCGCATAATTCTGGTGTTATATCACCCAGATCTTTGGCATTCAATATGCTGCGCACTTTCTCTTCAATCGAAGACATTTTGCTTGCTAATATATGTATATATCTCTTCTGTATATGGTTAGATGTGACCTATTGTGAAAGTGTGCTTCAAATGATTGTTTTGTTTGGTGACAAATTGAGTTGAACTTACGTTTAGCACAAAATTCCGTGGCGAAATGACTCAATGGAACGAAACATGCTTAGCTTATGCATATAGCAAAAAATATTATGCAAATTACAAATTCTTTAAGCGCGGCTCTCCAGTTGTCTGAAACGCACTCAAGAGCGGGCAAGATGTGACTGGACAATGAAGACGGCAATCAGCAAGCTTGCTTTTTTTTCTTCTATTTTATTTTGTTCTTGTTATGGCTGGCACACAGGTGCTTAGTAGTCTGCTAACGACGCAAACGCAAAGTCAAACGCGACAACGAGCAACGCGTATTTTGGCCTGTATTTTTCTATTGATATCGAAATAGATGTCAACAACAACAACAACAAAAAGCCGCAAGACAGGTTTTACTCTATGGAGAGAAAGTGCATTGGAATGCCTGTGTTACTGGTGCTGCGGCTGTAGTTTGAGCTAATTCTTCTGCGGCTGGTGTTGCACATCAGTTAGAACAAGTAGCTGTAACTCAGCCGCTGATGGCAGCTAATTATTTGCACAAAACACAATTGTATTGGTTTGAATAAAAAATTCGTGTATTTGCCTTCAATCTTTATTTGTTTACAAATGCTGGCGAGTGTGACCGTCATACGAACAGCTAAAAAATACCATGCAAATATACCGAATTTTAGTATTAAATGAGAACAGCTGTGTTAAGGCGCTCAGCTGCAGGGTGCCTCAAGTAAATTGAATCATTTATTTTTGTAATTATTCACAAATATTTTTAAATTGGCGCGTATTCATTCAATGCTGCACCTATATGCCATACATGCCATACAAACAAACTCCCACCCGACCACGAAATCTACGGCAATAACAATCATTCAATTTCTATTGAAAATTAGCTAGCTAAACAGCAAAAGGGCGGCACAGTTGATAGATTAATGCAGTTTAAGTAGATAAATGTACATAACGAACTGTCTTTATTAGCATTACGTACTTATTGTGTAGGCGAACGTCCCGGAAAGTGCGCCACTGATTGCTGGCAATAAAATTTGAATGCGGAAATTTCATTGTTTACCCAAATCGATCATCATTAAAAGCGTTTGCGTTTCGCAAGTGCGAATTGCTCGATTCCATGGCGTATACTTAACATGGGCGTTGCGTTGAGCGCCGCTGCGTTGTGGGTGGCGTCCCAAAAAGAGCATAGGGCGACCCATTCTAGGCAATTCACTTTCTGTTGTATTTTATTTTTGGTATAAATGCTCGATACAATATTAGCAGTTGCCATTGTGTATGTGCGACTGTGTGTATGTATGTGTGCAAGTGTGTGTGTGTGTGAGGTTACTTCAGTCAGAGTGTTTATGTGTGTGTGCATGTTTATTTATGTATGTGTATGCGAGGTATAAGACTTTGTCATTACATTGTTAATTTGTTTTAGTTGTTTTTTAATTTCCTTAGAGACTCGCAAAACTCATAGATGCGAGTGTGTGTGTGAGTGTGTGTGTGTGCGTGTACGTGTGTGGTAATGTACTCAGCGTGGGTGGTAATAAGAGCTAAAGTAAAATGCTGATAAAGTGGTGAATGCTGTGTGTGGCTGTGTGCACTTGGAATGCGTTGCGAATGTTCGGCGCGTTGTGATGACAAGCAGAAGCGAACACAAAACGTTCATTTCCCACAAGCGCCATTATTCGTTAAAACCCGTAAATTTTGCTCGAAACGAACACATACACACAGAGAGAGACGCATGCACACACACACTAACACATGCATGGTCACACATCTGGCAATAATAACAACAAAAGCAAGAACAACATGAGGCTGGCAAGAAGCTGCCAGCTAAACACGAATATAATGTTTAAAATGTTTATTATGTGTGTGCAAGTGACGCGCGCGCTGCCAATGAGACCAGAGCGGGCCAAGGCAGACAAACGCACGCATATGTTTGCCCATATAACTGTATTACACATGCCAGCGCACACATCTGTATGTTGTATGCTTTCGGGTGTGTGTGTGTGTGTGAGTGTGCGCTTGAATGTGTTGATTTTGGTTTTTGCCGGCAGCGACATTGACGCCGGATGTGAAACAAGTAGCCCAAATAAACCGCAATAAGCTTTTGTCACGATTAACAAGGCTTACGCAAAAATGCGTGCCAGAGTAAGACGGCACAAGTGCGAGCGAGACCGAGTGCGTGTGTGGCTGAGCATAATTACATACACATCGTTAGTCGAATATGTGGTTGTGTGTGTGCGTGTGCCTTTGCCATATTTTAGATTAATGATGGCGTCGAGTCGTATTAGGCAAATGAAGAAATCGACTACGACAGGCTTCTGGTTGCTGGGTGTCTATATTTGCTTCAATGTGTGTGTCTGAGCGTGTATCTGTGCATGTGTGCGTTACTTTTGGTCTGCGGTTTCTCGCAGTATATCCGCTAACAAATTTGCCACAACAATAAGTGCATATCATTATGCTGATTTAAGTGGCAGCACGGCACGTAGCAACCACCACACACACACACACACACACTCACACACAGACATATCTATAGCAAGTTATTACGCGCACACCTGACCCACACACACACACACATACACACACATACGCAATCGCACACACTTACCGTATATATTACACTGGGCTAGCTATGAGTATGCATGCAAGTGGGTACATAAATCTTTGTTTAAAGACACATGCACAATGTAAGTTAAATTGGCAATAACGTGCTTTTCTTTTATACGCCAGCTACAGATACGAACCCAGCCGTACACACACATACACACACACATGCATACGTAAGGGCATAACGGTAACGGAACCTTGTTTGCAAGGAAGTAACAACCTGTTTTCACCCCATGTAGTGGGTTTCGCTTTTATGTGCGCCTTGCCGCGCCACGACTTGCCTTCTCGCTTTTCCCCCCCGCAGCACGATGGCACGCCCTGATCCGCATCGCCTTGACTGGCGAGAGGACGGCGCTTTCCTTCTCCCCTTTTTTTCTCCCATTTTTATTTTCTTTTATTTGGTGGAGCCTGTTTTGGGGTACGTTTACGGGGCGTTGCTGTTACTCCTGTTATGCTTTAATTATGCCCTTGTCAAAAGGTGGGTACGGCGTTCGTTTGCCCTCAACTTCGCTGCCTTTGTTATGTTCATATATATACATACATTTATATTCTATACATATATACTTATGTAGATATGTTTCTATTCATGCCGACGTCCAGTCAAGTTTGTCCACACAAAACTCGAGTACAAGTTTGTTACAATAAAATGAAAGCGAGAGAAAAAACTGGAGAAGTAGAGAAACCCATTTGAAAATACATACATCAATTTTTAAGTACTAATTGGAACTGTGAGTTACACAACATTTTTGCTAAATTTATGAGTCAGTTGGCCAACAATTTTCTATAGAAAACTCAGTCTCATTTCTAAAGTATAAAGCGAGTTTTATATGACGGTCGACTGCCAAACAAATAAAGTTTACAAAAGGTTATTTAAGATGTTGAAGAAGAGTTAAACGAACTTTCTTTCATTGTGTTTCTTTGTATAGCTTAATAGCATTTTATCATGCTAAACTTGGTCCAGACATGAAACATGTTTCCAGTGCTCTCTCATTATTATTTAACTCATAATCATTTATCTTGAATTTATAGTTTAGTAAAAAAGATTTAAACTAATAGTTTCATATTAATTTTCAGGCTATTTTTTAAAATACCTAATTCGCAAATTATAAATTTTTATTGTTATTTTTTTTAAATTAAATTATTCATTTTGAGGACCTTTTATTTAAATTTGTTAGTTCCTTTTGTTAAATATTTGATTACGGTAAATTAAGTTTTAATTGAAGCCACTGAATAAACCAAAAGTGTCTATTTTTCTTTGTTGCCCTCATCTGCTAGACAAGGGTCCAGAATTGGCTAATCAAACGGCCTGATTTACACATTGTTGCATTGACCAAATTCGAGCTAAATGTTGGTCAAAGAGAGCCAAAAAATCTCTTTTGTGGCCACTGATATAAATAGATTTGAAGCACTTTTCGCCCGACTGCGGTTTGTTTCTGGTTTGTTTCCTGGCCTTCTGATTGCGTTCTGTGGAACGCCTTTCGTGCCCATATCGTTGTTCAAGATTTGTTTGCATTTCATTCTGCGAAGTCATTCAGCGTGACCGACAAGCAGATGCCAGAGCGTAAACGCATTCCGATATGCGATTATGCTCGGAATTCCGTTACCGAAGCTCTGCAGCTGTTGACTGTGGAGGCGCATGTGTAATTACACATACATAACGGTATCTTAAGAGAAATACATTTAAGTACGCGGCATACGGTGGCAACTTCCTTGAGCGGACTCAGAGCTTTCTGAGTTCAGAAGGAGAATTCAAGGCATTAAAAGCCAAGAAGTCAGAAATTTTGAATTTTATATTAATTTGTAAGTGTGGCAATTCCTTCACTTTTTCATTAGGCCTTGGAAAATATTTAATAAAGCAAAGCTTCAGAAATGAAAATGTGGTTCGTTCGTAAAGGTGGAAATGCAGGTTGACAAACCGAGCTTTATGAAAGCAAATTGGTGAATGAAACTTTCGTTTGTTAAGGCGTATTTGCATACTTGAAATACACTTAAGACGTTTCTTACTCTTTTTAGTCCATTTTGAAAGCGTTTGCGGATTCCAGAAATTCAAGAAATTACTTTCAATTTTTACAAAGAAACGACAATTCTTGGAAATTGTTTCCAAGTATCTGTTTGCTAAGGCAAGAAATTGAATTCACGTGCTGCTGTCCGCTTGTCAGAGCTTTCACTGTACTCGCTGGCGATGGCATGTTGATACGCACCGGCTGGCCTTTGACTGGGCAGAACGCAATCTTATCGCACAAAGCGTGCGCTTATCTCATTAAACGTCAGGAGACGCCATTGAATCATTTTACAAATGGCTGACTACATGTCGCATATGAATATGAGGGAAGGTTGGGCAGAAGGGGAGGCGGGGAAACGTCTAGGCGGGCACTTGAGTGAAACCTGCACTCACACACACGCACACCCGTACATACACATACACGCACAGCGCAATTGCTGACAAATGAGATAATTTACACGCTGAAATGAAGCCCATAAAGGCTCATTTAAAATTCAGCGGCGTCTGGGGCATAATTTTTTCCTGTTTTTCCACTGCTTCCTCTACATCTTTTCTATGTAGTACTATACATAAATATGTATGTAAAACTGTAGATATATATATTTTGTTCCTTTTTTGTGTTGTTTCGCTCTTGCTTGCATTCAGCTCTAGCATTTTACTTTGCTTTTTGTGCTTAATGGTTTTGTGCCATGACATACGTGGCTGGATATTAAAACGTAGCCCCGGTCCCCGAGAGATGTGGATGAAGGGAGGCCGGTCTGACGTGGGGTGGTGATGGGGCAGCCAGTCCGACCATAACCAGTGCCATTCCCACCGCTCTGGCCGTGGCAAATGGCTTGGGGCACGACAGAAAATCTTTATTAGCATACGGCATAAAAATTTATTAAAGATGAACGCGGCTAAATGAAAAGCGCGCCAAGGATTTTCGAGTGGGCCTTTTTACATTTTTAGTTGGCCCTCTCAGTTAGCCTCTGCCACGTACTCG